GGCTTTTACCGGTGATCGGCTTTAGAAATCCCTCGGCAACCCATAGCTTCATGAGGTTAGAGACATGAATCTCACAGTCCTCAGGGTACACTCCCATGTAGAGAAAACACGACTTTAGGTGAACGGGCAATTGGTCGTAACTCATTTGAAGTATTTTCGAGTAGCGTTTGTCGTCCTCTGTTTTCACGATTGAGTTGAGATTCTCTGTTATGTGCTGCCAGTACTGTTCCTGTGCCAGTTTTGTCTTTGCGAGGAGTCCACCGATCACGACGATTGATAAAAGAAGTCCTTTGCAATTTTCGACAATCTTCTTTCCTATTATTTCGAATTCTGTCGGGCAAGGTTCGTTCCAAACACAATTTTACAAAGTAGTTCCCAACTTTTGTCCTCGTCCAGCAAACTTATCGTATAGCCATGAGTACCTGTTATCTCGAAAGCCAGGTTCGACAGCCTGGTTGTCATCATCATCATACTCTGATTATCATTATCAGAAAAAAACAACTTCATCTTATCCCACGACTCGATACTCCATAAGTCGTCCAGTACAATCAAATACCTCCGACCTACTAAACTCTTGTACAACATTTCGCCTAATTCGTGTTCGCTCATGTGGCTCATGCTCTCCTTGCTACCTGCATTGTCTTTCTGACAAACAAGTAGCTCGAGAAGAATTTCTTTCGCGTCGTACTCTTGAGAAATCGTGGCCCACGCAAGAACATCGAAATGATGCTTAACGCACGAGTCTGAATAAACATTTCTATCGAGAGTGGTCTTATCTATGCCACCCATGCCGACAATCGGTATGATTTGACGGCCGCACGATCCTCCGGTGAGCTTATCAAAGATGTCGAGCTTGAGATCATCCAACCTGGTGTCATGCCTCACAAGATTGGATTTTATCGAACCGGAAGATATTTATATTTTACGTTCGACCTCCGCCGATTTATCTTTACCGTTAGCGACCTCTCTCTTGATAGTCTCGAAATCTTGCATAACCCGTTCGAGACGCTGATTGAAGTCGAATGTGGAGATGGGCCCGGCTCGTGGGTGGGGGAACGATTTGGTCGAGCGCATGGAATTCGATGATATCCTCTGCAGCATAAGCTGCATTAGCAATACGGCTTTCCAAGGCCTCACTGGTGGGATAATTTTCGAGAAAGTCTTCCAAGAAAGTGATATCAACAAGTAATACACCTTTTCCAACACATAACAGTAAAACTCCGTCATCATAGCAAGTACACTATCAAATCTCAAGTAATTCACTCAAATCGGTTGACAAGAAATACAGTTTAAGGCTCAACGGGCTACTAGTGAAAATATAATCTCAAGGGTCAATGAAAAAGGCTAAACGAGCAATGTCAAAGAAAATGCCTCAATCATTTTCACAATTCACTACTTCAATCAATTAATTTCAAAATAGACTAAAAGCAAGTTCTGATCAACAACGCATCCGACCAATATCTCTCAAAGAAAACAATATAAGGCTCAAACCTCACAAGGCAAATAATGTCCAACAAAACGAAACATCAAGCTCATCAAAGCATACTGGTCATGATCATCATCACATCTCCTCAACGTCATCAACAATCATCAGCAAATCTTAAAATTCACCATAATCCATACTCAAAAACACACAAACTGACTCAAGACAAGACACTAAAACCAAAACAGAAAAAGAAAAACAACCTAAACGACCTAGACCTGATCAACCATATAAGCACATAATCATGTAAAAACTCCCCCACACTTAAAATCGAACAATGTCCCCATTGTCGATCATCAGTGCAAGGAAATTACCCATATAATCAACCAACAAGAAGAAAAACAAAGACACAAAACCAAAAACGAAAATAAAGAGAAAGGAAAAGATACAAACGTACAGGGCACAGTGACTAGACTAGTCACTGTGAATCTGGTGGTGCTCGTGGAGGGGTGGAGGTAGTCAAGCCCCAAACAGCGGCGGGCCCCTGTCAACTCGAATCTCTCGCCCCATTTCGATCGGGGCAGCTCTCTAGAACTCGGCTGGGGAGGGGCAAGGGGACTGTCGGTTCGGTGCTCCTTCGGGACATGAACACGGTCCTGAAGTGATCTCTTCGCGTGCTCACGCATACATGCATCCTCGATGAGCTGGTTAATCGCCCAAATATATGCACACTCTTCCACTAACTCCGCTTGCGGCTCCGGCTGAGTCTCTCGCATAGAAATGAGAGCAGACTCCCCTAACACGGTCATGCTCGTTGTCCCCTTCTTCACATCAATAACAGTGCTAGTGGTGGCCATGAAGGGTCGCCCGAGGAGGATGGTGTGCTGCTTTTCACTATCTTGCACGTTTCCCACATCGAGCACAATAAAATCCACGGGGACAATCAGCTTCCCCACTCGGACA